GGTGATGCATTTTCAATGATAAAATCTTTCCTCAAAGTGACTAGAAGATTAAAAATGTTGTTTCATAGCTTGGACATCTCTGCAGATTTCTTGAACGTAACTATCATGACTCTTCCTTCTTAATTCCTTAACAATCTAAATACTCAGTTATGAACAAGCTGAATGTGATTATATCAATTTTCTGTTTAAAAAAACAGTTAATGTTGTTATGTAACAAGAAATCCTTCCATGCCAGATATTTTGCAGATTCTGAATATTGAAAAACCAATGAACTGACAGATTTATGGTACTCATAAATCTTGCACTGTTCATTAAATGAGCCTGAAGGTCCTTGTCCTCCAAACATTTATGGACTTGGTTAAAATAAAATGTGTATTTACTAGGCTTTGTAAATACAAAGAAGAGTCCAGTGCGACACTAGGATCTTAACTCAGAATTTAATCAATCCATTTTTTTCCATCTGTAATCTCCACGTGTAAAGGGGACACAGCAGTAGTAAAGGGCGATATATTTGGTAATATGCAATTCAGGGCATTTTAGGTATGTAATTTAGCTGCAACTCAAAGGACCTATGGTAGAAATGTGAGCTTCTTCCATAGCTAATTGAGTTTAGGCAAGGACCTCCGTTAGGGCCATCGTTAGTTGTTTGGTCTGCCTAAAGTAGACTGTGTGTAACTCTCTGCATGTAGCTTAAAAACAAATCCAGAGGCATTTATAACTGAATAGGTCAAATTACTCATTTTTGCTAAAGTACATTTTAATCTGGTTATCTGGAAATAGCAATGGAAAAATGGATGTAATCAGTGGAGAAACTTAGGGTCAGTTAGGAAGATTAGATATAAAGAGTCATACATTTAAAAACAAATCCACAGATCAAATTTAAGATTGTTACACAGTGAAATATGCATTTCTTTGTACCTGTGAATAATATTCTTGCTTACTAGGTAGGCAGAGCAAGATTTATGATGTCCTTAACTTCTCATTTCTTTGCTTGTAAGAGCTTGCATTTTGTAAATGACATCATAGGAGACCACGCTGTTGTCACTCAGCAACTACAAAGTATTTTTTTTTTAAGTTGCTGCTTGGCTTTGTATTAATAATTAAAACAGTTATTCCAGTCAACACCTTACATTTGTAGCTCTTAAAGTGCTTACAAAGATGCATTATTTTTACTGTCCTTAATTGGAAGCACAAAAATCTAGGATGGAAAGTGTGTTGCCAAAAATTACAATCAACAGAACTACAAATTGTGTCTTGAAGATCTCACCCTATTCTTCACATCTCAGCCTCTTCAAACTGTACTTTTATATAGGTCCCTTCCAATATTTTCTGGTCTTATGAATTTTAAATGAGGAAAAGGAATAATTTAGAAAATCTGTATTTGCAATTATTATCTCCCCCTCTCATTTGAGATACTGCAGTTATTTTCTAGTCTGAGGGTCACAGTGAATTAGCCCTTGGCAAATACTTAATTTTTAATGGAAACCACTGCAGCATTGAGTTAAAGCAAGCAAAAGCTTCACATTCATCCTAAGATGATTCTGCTGCTGCATCACTGACCAGTTCTTGTGTTGTATATATAGCAGTTCTGTATAATTCAGTTTTTTCAAAAACTTGTTTTATCCTGATTATTGAAATACTTGCTAATAATGGCATGACAGTTGACACTGCATACTGAAATGTCTGCCTCTAACAACAACCGGCTTGAAAAGTGCTTCATTTTTTAAGTAGATCATGGAGGCTGGGTAGCCAAGGTTTTGTGTGATTTGAGTTAAAGAAATACTTACTTTAAATTATTTGAGAAATGTCCTACACTCATTTTTGGTTCTCCGTTGGCCTTGCCAGACATTTGGTGAAATGAAGCTGTTTGGGGGCATATTTCTTCCTAATAGTCCACATTTTTAAAAAACGTGTAAGGATGAATTAGAGTGAATAGCCACTAAGATAATGTGTGGGCTGCTGTGCAGCAGTCTCCCTGGAGAGCGATATGTCAGGAAAGACATTAAAAAAATTTCTGTAATGAAACGTATATTTCTCACAAGTAAGGAAAGATCTTGACAGATCATCTGTTATGAGGTATCTGCTCTGTTCTTTACTTGTGGGACAAATAGTATTTCTCCTTATAATTCATTGTGGATTATCGTTCTGTTGCAGTTTGTGTAATGGCAGCACATGGGGAATTTAGGAAATGACACCCCAGCTGTCTTTTACAATAACTGTTTCTTTTTATGCTTTTGCACTGTAATACCTCTTCCTTCAAATTATCTTTTCTATACACTTCTCACTGAAATACCAGTGTGTATCCCAAAATGAATTAAAAAGAAAGAGGGATCTACATAACTTATGTCGATTTTCCCTATGTGATAGATTTTATTTCATTCACTAATTTATTGATAAAAATGCAAAGAAAAATACATATCTGGAGTTCTTTTTCCGTAATACATTTTTAATAAAGAAGTGAAGTCAATATGCAGTAGCTGGAAATCTATCTCCTGGTTTTCGTTATTGTGTGAGGTTTGATATATATGTATTCTAAAGAACAGAACTGTCTATGTTGCAGATACATTATTAGGAGATATTTTGTCTGTAACGTTCATGAAGCTTATCATTGTTTTCAGAAGTTCCAAACAGGTGGGAGAAATTGAACCTGGGCATTAGCAGATGAGAAGCAGATGAGCTTCCCAAACCAGTACACTGCCTATTGTATAACTTCCCTGATTCAATACCATGCACATCCTTTCCAGTTGTCTCCAGAGATTTACTTGAATTGATTGGTTTAAAGAAATTTTGTAAAAGTTCATTAGTGGGACAGGGAGAAGCAAGAAGTCCCTAGGAGTATATATGGGTTCCCCGTATTTCAACGTGTAGGCTGGGAAGCTATATCAGCGGGACTTTTTCTCTGTAACTACACATGTAATGCTTAGTGAATTAAACCTAAAACCACTTGCTGGGGAATGTCTTCTGGATCAGTTCTGTGAACTAGTCTGTAGCAGGTCTGTAAGAAAACTAGAATTTTCTGTAGTCTATCTAGATGCCTGAAACACAAAATCCTGAGGAAGATACCAGATCAAGTTTTAGATCAGGTGAGTGATTAGTTTGTTCTGCCTTTGGAGCTTTGTTGCTGAACATTTCCATCTCTGTTTTGCCTTTAACTGTGTTTAATTGTTCATCATCCAGTGTTGTCTGAGAGTAAGTGTGAACTTTGCAAGAAATTGAGATATAGGTCTTTGCCCATGGAGAGCAATTCCTTATGCAGTTCAGTCTGGTTTATTACAAAAGTATTTTCCATCCAGCCTGAGTTGAAAGTGCTCTGGAGTGGGAGGACCTGCTTGCCTTAGATGACATTGGCAGATATATAATCAGATCATGATCAGCGCTTTTTTGGCAAACAGACACAAAGCTGTAAATCATCTTAGGATTTACAGGGTTCCACTTCTCTATCCTGGCAGCAATCTGCATTTCTCAGAGCTGTACCCAGTGATGGTACGCCATGATTAAGGAGAAGCTTATGTATATTAGTGGGTTTTAATCATTTCAATTTGAAGACCTTTAAGAATGTTCTAGGAAGTGTGGAGAGATGAAGGATAAACAAATTGAAGCCTTTTGACAAGGCTTCTCTTTTTCTTAGGTTATTATTTACAAACCTTTTAGAAATAATCCATGTATTCCCAAGAGTTTCCATATCATAAACTGGAAACCAGCACTCTAGTGAACTTACGAAAAGAAAACTCATGGTAGACACTGCATTTCCCTGTGTTCCATTGACTTCAGCAAGAGGTCAAGGGTTTATTTTGACTTTTATGCTCTTTAGTAATGGAAATCACTGGGATTCGAACAACGATGCATTTCAAGTATGAAGGCAAAGGACACTAATGGTAGTTCATGTAATGGGCATTATCTATTTTAAACCACTCCAAATGTATTGAGGTCTTGTGAGAGACACAAATTTCCTCAGGTTTTCCCTGTTTAGTTTGGCTCTTAGCCATTTTTGGCTTCTGTTACCAGAAAAGTAAATCATGTCTCTCTTGAATCAAAAAGACTTAATCTACTGATAATTCTAGTAAAAAGATCAAAACATGAGTTAAGACTGACCGTTGTCCTGACAGAATCCCACTGGTTTGTTTGGCAACTAAGTATTTTTAACACAAGATTAATATTTCAATACAAAATGATAAAATGCATCTACATAATATGACTTACAGATACAGTGCATAAATTAAGAAATTGTGCAAATGCTCCTGTAGACCACAGAATGCACAGGACAGAGAGGACATAAGAACTTGCTTGCTGCCCTTTGGGCAGGTTGTGTGTTTTATTAACGTAAAATTATATTTGTAGCGCCTTCAACTTCCTTATTTACATTAAATTTATTAACTACAGCACAGAGGTTGGGTGAATTATTAGACACTGAAGGATTATATCTTTCACAAAATCCCATTATTTTTATTCTCTAACAAAATAATCATCTTGGTGGTATCATAAATTATGTTTAAAAAAAACACACATACATGCTAGTTGGATTTTTTTATATGTTTATATATGTTTAGATCCATGAGGTCATCTGCCAAGAAGTAACTGAAACCTGTGGATGTGCCAGAAATAGAACATGTTAGTACAGTGTGTAATTCTGCACTCAAATACTGGAGCAACTCCAACACTGATGATGAAGCTTCATGTGTGTGTATGAGAACTATGTGGAGAATCTGGATAGCACAAATGAAGAACTCTTAGGGCTGCAGGCATGCAGCTTTGGAAAGGTTTAATAGCACTTCACATACAAATAGTTCTTCTTGCTATTGCACAGAAATCTCATGTCAAATCTGGAGCTATGCATAAATACCATTTAAACAGAAGACTCAATCTTTTGCTCAATAAAAGAGTCAGCTAAATGACATTTTAACAATAATACCCACAAGTACTGTTTGCCTTTCTCCTGGGTTTATCCATAAGGTAACTGTTGCTGCATGCTTTTCTTAATGTCACTTTCCTTCCTTTTTTAGAGTTTCTTTGAAGGACAGTCTGCACCGTGGGATTCAGCTAAAAAAGATGAGAACAGAATGAAAAATAGATATGGGAATATCATTGCATGTAAGTGTTGACAACATAATTGTGCACTGTGTTAACTTCCCTTCAGAACTGGGTAAGAATGACCACCAGCCTTGTGCTCACATCAGGCTTAAATTCCTCTTCCCTATTTAAGAACATAGAAGTGAGCGAAGATGTTACTTTTTTTTTTTTTTGAGAAAACTGTCAGATTTAATGCATGTTCTCAACTAGCCTTCTGTATACCTTCCATCCTGTGATTAACATGTGGCAAATGGAGAATGACACCTTTAACCAATACTTGGCTCTAACAGCTCCCAAACTGCTCCTGGCAGCTTAGTAAAAGTGTATCCATGGTTGCATCGGTACCTTGATATTGAGTTCTGCATATTGTAGGAGTAGACAATACTCCTGCTTAAGTATTCCTTAATAACAGTGACAGCTATCCTGATTTACCCTCTTAATGCTAAACAGACTCTAAGAAAAAAACAGAATCTGTACGTTTTACTTAAAAATGCCAAGCTTGATAAAGATTAGTTATACTAATAATCAAATAACTTGAGGAGATGATAGCATGCTTTGATGAATGACCCCTAAATCTGGCATTATGAGATTGCAAAATGTTGTGGCAGGAGATGCTGCACATGAACACAGGGGCAGAAAATATATAAATTTTGGTAAAATTATATTATTATTTACACACTGGTAGTGTTGCACTTAAAAGGTAAGTTCCCAATGTGTATGTAGGAGATGATCCCTTCCCTGATTGTTCTTTCAAAACCTAAGTTTAAGATATGAAGCATATGTGTTTCTACCAGCCAGATGGATAACCATGGAAATAAGCAGCAGTCACAGCATGTCAGACATTTTGTAAGCATGCAAATGAACAATGGCCGTTAAGGAGGGATCATTTAATGATACTGCTGGAGTTTAGAAATCTGGGTACATCGAACAGCACAGAAGAATAACAGTGCTGATTGTCTGAACATTTGGAGGACCTATGGAAGGAGTATGTAGCGCATATTTACACTGCCTAACTTCAGCACCTAGTCTAGGTGCTTGTCCAGACACAGATCTGCCTAGTTTTCCTTATCAGTGAACCATGTGGACTTGACAGAGAGAAGGACAGCTCTTCTAGAGAAATTATTCAGAAATAGAGCCCATTTGAATGCTTCTGAATCACCACCTCAGGAGGACCTCTGTGCGGTGCTTGCGTAACGAGTCTAGAGAGACCAGCTCCTAACTTAGTGACCTACAGTAGGTGGTATGAACAGGCCCTTATATCACTGTGGCCCAGCTGGGCTGAGACAGTCTACAAAGAGAAAACAGCTCTGTGACTTGCTGCAGAAGGAGGAGGAGAACCCGCAGGAAATGCTTCTGGAGGCAGAGGCAAGTTAAGCAAGAGACGCTAATCTGCCACATCATTTTGAATGGACATGATCTGTGCTACTTACTGAAAAAGGAAATTTAATCTTCTAGGGAAATACGAATATCATGATGGGCTGGAGCATATGCAAAAGAAGATAAGTTAGCTAGATGTGGTTTTGCCTGCTTCCCTCCAAGCAATCTTTAATGTGAAACAAACGTTATTTTGTGAGAACGTAGCAATACCTCAGATGACTATTATCATTTAAGTAAAAATACTGAAGGCATAAATAAGAATACCAAAAAGTTTTATGTTTATTCTTCCTTTGTGAAATTTTATTTCCAGTCCAAGTCTATGACAATAAATCTGCTCTTTTAGTCAGGTTTAGTGTTGTCAGTCCCCTCTTTAATGTCATGTTAGGCATCGCATTACACTTTGATACCCTTTGGTTGAAGAAAACAGAAGACTACAAGTGCTAGATGTCTGAGGTAATGAAGTGATGAGTAACCAAGGGAAAACAAATAAAAGATATTAGATACACAAATCAATGGCAATTACATGCGATACTGAAGGCTTTCTGAGAGGGCAAGTATAACTCAGATCATTTAGATCTCAATTTACTTTTAATGTCCTCAGTATTTAGCAAAGAGAAGGAGTTGGATGGAGTTGTTATCAATAACACTTCCTATTTATGTGGCTGTGAAAACGTAGATAACACAAGTTAAAATTAAAATCCGTTAGAGTTAAAGGGAGTATCTTAAAAGAGAGGCTGAAACTGCCCACAGTTTGTCATCCGTTAAATACATATATGCAAATGAGGTGGTTAACTGTGTAATTATTGTATGTGTTTTTTCTGCTGGATAAACAATCGCTTGTCTCAGAGTCTGAGAGTACAATTTTAGCGGTCCACTTTGAAAATTTGTCCCAGATAGTTGTATGAAGTATATGCTTTAGCCAAAAATCATTTTACTAAATTGCCCTTTTACGCTATATTTAAAGACTTAAAAATACGATGATTCAGATGCTACTGACTATGGGTACATGATTATAATGAAATGTTGGGGTGTTTTGTAAAGCATTTAATGTAATTTTTATCCATCCATTTATCCTCTTTGTTTAAATTTTCCCCAAGATACTACTGTTACATTATTGCTTGTAGTCATTATTGTTCTCTGAGGCAACTAAAACAATAGCACCAAGAGGCCAGCATTGCAGGAGCTTGTCAAAATGGAAATATGCTTTACATTACCCAAGTGATATGCGTTTAATTGTCTACAACATGCCCAACCCACTGTATGAAAGTGGCTCCAACTTGTGAGCCGCTGTATCAACAAGCTGAATCATGATCACAGTCCAGTCACCCACAGAAAACATACTCCTTCTTTACCGAACACAAAAAACGTTTAAGTTTTCTCATTAGGAACTAAAACTGTCATGACTCTGCTAAATGAATCTCTGTTTCACCTCAGAAAAATTCAGTAATTGTGTAGGGTTATGCATGGATTTTGGTAAAATTTATTGGTTTTCCTCATGAGAGCTCTTGAGGTAATTTCAGAATGGGAGGGGTTCTGTATTTATTTTTACCTAAATCAATATTAACTAAATGAGAAGAGAATATCGATCACAGCATTTAAAAGCAGCTAAAGATTTTAGGTGAGACATTTATAAAAGGCTTGATTTGCAAAGAATCGGCAAGGCACATCCCAAGAAAGGGTCACTGGCTAGGCATGCTAATCAGCCAGCTACTTCAAGGGGCTTGTTAGAGATCACAGTCTGCAGGCTGGCATATACATGTTGTAGGTAACGTGAAGGGAGCGAGAATAAAATGCTTATATTCATTATCTATTACCATTTTCTACAAAGGCAAATGGATTCTAACATAATTAATTTTGAAAGCTTAAGTGATCAGTGCAAAGTTAAGTTTGATCTCCTAATAGAAGGGTATCAAAATAACAATGAGCTGGAAAAGAGAGTATTTAAAAGCTACAAAAATTGTCAAGAGCAGCTGAAGTATAAAGGAAAAAAAGTACCCTAAAAATCTAGACAGTTAACCCAGAGGCTATTTAAGAATCAACATGCATGTTGGAAGAATATATGGCTTTGTCTATCTCCTAGCTTTAGATCTACTTGACATAAGCACAGGCATAGATACAGTAACATTTCTTTTTGTCGACTAAAGATTTTTTTCGAATTAAGAAGTGTTGCCATGCAGTAAGGAGTTAACTAGAGTTTTCAAAGCAATAAAAAAATGGAGTGACTCCAGCTCCACTGAAAATAAATGGGTATTGAATAGTCCATTACCTCCAGAATTCCCAGAAACTTAGCTGAGAGCGCAGCACTAGAAAGGATGCATGTGAGAAGAAAAAAGGGCAAAAAGACAATATGGAGGTATAGGTATGAAGTAACTTATTTAGTTTTGCCCAATCAGAAGCAAGTATTATTGCAAGGAAAGAATGGAGTAAATAAAGAAAATAACAAAATAACAGGAAAGGTAAAGAAAAGATACCATTGTATATTATTGAGTTGTATAAATCAGTCTAAAACAAGTAACAGGAATTTATGTTTCTAATATGTTCCTTAGTGGGAAATTTAAGCTTGTTTTGCCCAATATGGAACTCATTGGTGCATAAGTCATCAAAGATGGGATTCAGTTGCCCAAGCATAGACATGTAGTGCCATTTCAGGTGACCTAGGACGTCTGTGCAGGACCAACAAATGTGACACAGTACACATGAAATTCGTGTTATTCCGTACTGGCAGCTGAAGGCTAGGCAGTATATCCCAGGGTATATAAAGTGGCATGAGATGCTTGTGCTTAGACAACTGAGTCCTGCCCTAAGTAATTCAAGAAAAATAAAAGGGGAGATCTTAAGTAGCCTGAGTTGTGCTGTTGAGAAAGCTTTTAAGACAATGATACGGGAAATCATGAAAATGTGGATGAAGACATACCATGAGTCCAAGCAAGTTTGACTTCTGGAGTCTGATGACTTTAGCAGAAGTTGGATCAGGTCCCAAAATTGTAAAAGCAGCAGCCATGTCTGGCGCTTAGAAAGTTCCTAATGTAGTATCTTTCTTAAGTAATATGGATTTTTAGAATTAAGGGCCTGTGAGCTGAACCCTGTGTTCTGAAGAAACTGATAAATAATTAAGCAGAGAATAGCACAGCACTTTGATAAGCATAGCTTGGTAGGGTCAGACCAGCATGGGTTATATAATGGAGAGTCACATCTCTATAAATTTTTAGTCTCGGAAAAGTGAATAAAGAAGCTGAAAAGGCTGACCTGATAAACATAATTGCTTTGAATATTCCAACATGTTTGGAAGAACTCATTCTTGAAGACTGTTGGGTGAAATAATCACAAGGAAATTGCAAAATAAGAGTTGTGTGGAACCTAGAGATGGAATTTTAATTCATTCTGATTTACTGTATTGGGTTTAAAACTGTGCCCTTTCTCTCTCCTAAGGGAATCCCAGGGAACCAAATGAGTCTCTGAGATCTCTGGTCCCTGAGACTTGGAGCATAAAAGAGGGTAAAATAAATAAAGAATTTGCATCTTCCTTTCCTACTCAGCCATTTGAAAATCTCTTGACTTGTAATTCTAAAACAATGTTATTTGAAGAACCACTTGCCCTCTCCTTCCTCCCCCATAATGTGGGCCAGTATTATGCTACTTATGATAAAGTTGGGTTTTAAAGCCTCTTCGTGTTCTTTCATTCATTTGTTAGCTTTCAAGATTTTTAAAGCTGAAAAAATAGCTATTCAGACCATGGATGGCAAGTTTCAGGTGCTCTAATGCTTATTTACATTAAAATAATGACAGTCATGAAGGTCTGTCATCAGCTGCAAATAATATTAGCTCAGCTAGCAAGCAGCATTCAAAACCAATAATACACAGGTATCTAATTAGCAAACGCAGCAGTAAAGTGGCTATTTATCATCACTCCAACCTTGAGATCATACCCTCAAATTGTTTTATCAACAACTTACGCAGCATTATGGAAGAGCATTGTGTTTGGTTCCTTTTGAACCAAGAGAATCAAGAGGAGTGTATGAAGTCTCAAAGAAGAAAAATCCCTGCCAGCATACAGAGATTCTTTTTTGGGGGGGATCTAGCCTCTAACACTTCTTATCACTGCTGTGATATCATAAGGAAAATGAGGCAGCTGACAAGTGAATTCATGCCATGGTGTTTCAGATTGGAAGCTGGAAAATAAGAGTTGGAAGTGTTTGCACATTCCTGGATAGATATAGGTGGCCACGGTGGGGCAAAATTCAGTGACAAAGCCATTATCTGACTGCTTGGGTTTTGTCATTGCTTTATTTTGCGTTCTGCTGTACTGAAAACATAATGAGTTTCCTTCAGAAACTGTGAGATGGCAGTATCTCTTGTTGAATGGCTTCAGCTTATTTTGAGAACTGGCAGAAGCATTTCCAAATGACTAAACCTTTGACAACTTAATTTTATTTATTTTATTGACCAAAGAGGGGGAGGGTGTCAAGGCAAAAAAAAAAATTGCAGTGGATTTCACATTAGAAGTATTTAAGACATTCAGACTGAAAATCAGAGGGGATTTGGAAAGCCTTATGAGTTACTGAAATGAAGATTAAATACACTGAGGATACAGTGTTTTCATGGACAACAAAACAAGCATGAACTTGCAAATACTGAGGTTTTAGTTTGACTTTAAAGTCATATTTTGATGAAGGCTTTGTTACTGAATGTGTCTTTAATCACTTTTTTTTCTCTCTGTTGTTCCCATTTCAGATGATCATTCTCGAGTGAGATTGCAGCCCATTGAAGGAGAAACAAGTTCAGATTACATCAATGGAAATTATATTGATGTGCGTATACTGATATAGTCAACAAACTTAGCATTGTGTTCAGCTGAAGACAGAGCTCTTAGTATTCTCACATTATTCATAATTTGTAATAGATATCACAGCTAATATCAGCTGCTAAACTTTGTTGGAAGGTACTACCTTTGGAAGCTAGGTGTACACTACAGGAAAAAAAAGCCTCAAAGGTTTTGTCGATAAGCAAATGAAAGGAGTCATTTCCTCCAACTGCTACAAGACTGAAACCTTGCCAGCAACATTGTGTGGCTACTTTGCCTGCTGGTGCTTATATGGGCTAACAATATGTTATTTTCAGTTTCTGTCAACAGCTTGGCATCATTCCACATTTAAAAGAAAGCTGTTTGCATATTAATGTGACAAAACTCTGTAATTCCTAATGCAGAGATTTGCAATCTCTTGTCATCTCTGCGCTTTTAAGTCGCCTTCAAAGTATATTCTGCAGCTGTTAACCAGTACTTCTAATGCAAGCAAGACATTTCATTAAATATGTAGGCTATTTAATTATTGAAGGCATCTTCTTTGTTCATTCTGCATCATGTTAACTTAATGTTTTACATTAGAATAAATTCTTCAAGAGACAAGGTGTTTTTGGTTGAAAGAATGAACTCAAAAGTAGAATTGAAAATCATTAGAAAGTCAATACTATCTAAAGCCAGAAATCTACGGATAGCAAATATAATAATTTTATTGTTTACATGGAGTGCTAGATGTTAGGCTAAGTAAAACAAGTGTTGCTTCATAGGAGACTGCTAAAGATTTCTTGTTCAGCAGTGGCATCTTTGAAAAATGGTGTCACAGTTTGCAGTTCAAATTTAATCGCTAGTACGAAACAGGCATGTAACAGATGTTTTTCTCAGAGTATGGAGGAACTAGAGCTATACAAGAAAAGTAGGTACTTCAGTTGTAACAATCTGAAGTCTGAAGTTGTAACTTTCTAAAGATATCTCCAATTTATGCTTATTAGCATGTTCAAGAACCATTAAGTTAAGCTCAGGTTTCTGCTCGGTCCCTTGCTGTTTGAAAAAATAGCACAGTCACCAGGAGGTAAAACACATATGGAAATATATTTAGTTAGATGTCTCACTGAACTCTGAGGGGAGTAATCTGTCATGAAAGGAGAGTTCACACTGGGGACCTAGATTTGAATTCACTTTCACACTTTCTCCAACATTCAGGACTGTTCTCATTTTAGGCTACTAGTATGTTCTTGTGACAGATTTTGGTCTGACTCTAAAATATTAAAAAATGTGAGGAATAAGGATTTGGACCATACAGTCTCATTTAAAATGTTGATAAGATAGCTGTGTAGCAACCTTTTTTGCTTATGGAAGTACAAGGGGATGGAGAGAATGTGGCCCTAAAAGAAACAATGGGTGAGAACCAAAAAATCCTCTCCCTCATCCTCAGCAGATGGCTTCATTGCAAAGCTTGGAGGACTGCAGACACCTTTCAGAGACAACTCTACCACAAAACACAGCATTTTTTGTTTATAATCTAGCTGGTCAGGTTTCCATTGAAAATTCTTGTTTTTCTACCACAGAAGCAGCTGCAATTTACTGTGGCATGGGGTTGCTAATACAGTTGTCATATTGTCAGAATAAACATGTTAATAGGGAATGGCATCATCACAGACACTATGAAATCTTCCTGGATAAAAGAGAATTATGGTTATGCGGTATTTTTTCCCATGTGTTTTTTCACTGGGAAGCGGAATTGTTTGATCCCAGACATTAGTGGTATTAGATAAAACATAGCAGAAAAAAGGAGCTTTGTAGCAATCTGAACAATTCTCAGTTCATAGATTTCCAAATTTTGCTTCAATGGCATATAAGCGAATCAAGTCTGTAATTCATGTTATTCTTTCTGTAATGTTCAAGATATCTTCAGTTGTTTTGAGTCTTTCACACCTTGCATCACTAAAATGCCCCATACTCTCTTATAAAGAAATTGCAATGGCATGCAAGCTACAGCTTTAAGTTGATGACTGAAAAAGCATCATAACCATTATTAAAAGATTAGCACTGGTATAGCTGAATTTATCAACATACTAGTGTATGATCTAAACCTTTGGTGACACTGCCATCACATCAGAAATTCGAACACTGTGAAAATGGTATTGTTCCCTATTGGCAACCTATTCAACATTGCAAATAATCCATAGAGTATTAGTCTTTAATGCACAGCCAGCTTGTGATTAAGTTGCTTTTGTCATCAGGGAAACATAGAATTGTTTTATGTTCTTCCTATTCAAATGTGAGCAAGTATATTCATACCAAACCATTTAGGCAAAGATTTTACCCTCCTTTTTACTGTTCAGAAATAAAACATAAACAAATCACAGTGGACAGAGTGAACAACCTCCCACCCTTCCCCAGGCTGAATGCAAATCTAGCATTCTTTAGCTGTTAAAAAAGGGATAGGGTTTGCACTCAATAGCAGTAGCTTGGAGGTATAGCTCAGCCTCCATAAGCATCTGATGCCATTAGCTGCAAGTGCTAGAGAGGATTTCATGCTGTTCATTTCCAGCAGAGCCAACAAGGGACTAAAAGAACATATTACTTCTGTCCCCTAATGTACAAGGCTGCAACTTAAGTATCTTGCAGAAAACACATTTGCTTCTTGTTCCCCTTCTCCCTTGCCCTTCCCCCAATGGAGAGAACTTTTTCATCTAATGCATTATCTGTACTGTGATTTTTACTGAATACTACTCTAAATGAAGTTTCACTCATAGCAACATGACTGAGGTGCATATTGCTTATTTTTTTTTTCCAATTTGTTTTAGGGTTATCATAGACCAAATCACTACATTGCTACACAAGGTAAGTTGATCACCCTTTCTTTTTAGTTATCTGAGGCTAAGGCATTTTGGTACTTGGATTACAGTTTATACTCTCTAATATGCATTCTTGCCACAGTCAATATCCAGAACAGAGTAGGCTCAGTCACTTAGGTAGCAGTGAGCAAACTGAATTACTACCTAATTTTCAGGTATGTCAAGTAAGCAGTCCTTTAGCTTTGTGTTCAAAGAGTTTTTTGGCAGAAGGTACTCAACATGTTGTTACTCATCAAAAAAGAAATAATTCATGGTAGAAATATTCAGTAAACTTTTCAGAGAGACAACAGTGTCATGAAAAAATTATGTTCTCTTAATTGTTCAATGATAACGAGGCTTCAGGTCCTTAAAATACAAAACACCTTCAGTTAGCAAGTTTTAGTAGAGGATGCAAAGACATATTATGCTTGCAGGGGGATTCTTCAAAGGAATTTAGAGATACAATTTTACAGGTCATCGTCTAAAAGCTTGCTTGTGAACAAGAACCTATTCCTTTGTCAACATGCAAATTAATTTTCAATTTGTACTTGTCTTCGAAGACATAATCTACCCATTCTGATGCAGTTCTTATTTATTTTTTGGTCAAGTTCAGAGCTGGAACAGGTGGGAAAGATGAGTCTTCTGTGACTGCTTAATCATAATATTGAACAATATGCCAATCTCCTGCCTATGCTTGGATAGCATATCTGTGAAAATCTGATTGCTCCTCCACTACTGGGAGGGAATCTTCTCTGCAATAGGTATTCTGTGACAGAGCTTCCTGCATTTGCCCATGGATGTGAAGAAGTTGAGCTATACCCGTGTACGTTATTGCAACACATGCCCAACATTCTAAGAGAGCCAGCTGGAGTACTGAGTATAATATACCCAGAATAATGTTACCACATGTTGGATTTAGAGGTTTTTAATAACTTTTTATCAAAGCAGAGAAAATGTTGGCCGTGTCAAATAAGGGCTCTTACTGTGCTTTCAGTTGTTCCTTAAGTAACCCAGTCTGCAGCCTCCAGTCCCAACTCGTACCAGTGGTGTATCTCTGCATTTCTGTACTTCAGCTCTTGACAGTCCCAAATGAGATGCTGCTTCATGTTAGATGACAGTGGGGCAGGATGCAGATCTTATTACTAGAACAGCCTCACTACTGTCAATATTACACTGTTAGACCAGAATTAGAATTTGTGATCTTAGAATATGAGCCATGCAAATGTTATGCTTCTTCCGCTACCTACCCACCACATTCCTCAGTCCACTGTCTTTCTACAGATGAGCCAGAAAGGAAAAGTAGGACAAAAATACAGCATTTTCTTAATTCCCTTTGGGCTTTTACACCCTCCTCTTCTGAGGAGAATTGGATTGTTCCATTTAAACTTTAGCTAATGATGCTGTTGTTTTCCATCTTTAATTGAATCCTAAAATAAAAAAGATACACAGTTGGCATTTTACTTGCAGTTTGTAATACAGTTGTTTTCATCAGGAGGTTCACCAGAAGATCTCCCTGACAGCTTTCTGATAGACATATGAGATCCCTATCTGAAGCAAGTTTAAATGCAGCTTTATCACTCATTGTAATATTTGAATAGAAAATACCAAGCTTGAGGTTTTGTACTTTTAACTCTTAAAGCCAAGTATGTAATAATGTATGAATAGTGTACTGAAAGCCTATGTACCAGATCCACCAGCAAGTCCCAGCAGTTTCTTTGCCACACTTTTTTCGTGATACGGTGTCAAGAGGTACCTAGTCAAGAAGGAGAATAAGAGGAGTAGAAATAAGTCTTCTTCCAAGATGTAAAGCATATATGACTGTTTCAGCTGTCATTCTTTGGGGCAGGTCCCATCAGTTTCTTCTGTGGAGGTGTGGCTAAGTGACCCCTCCCACAGTGCAATGAGTGAGAAACTGACTCTCTGAATAATATAAAATTAATTTTAAAATGTGCTTACAATTTACAGCAAATTCAAAATAATCTGGCTGCAAGGTTTTTTGTGGATTACATCTTTAACATCTTATTTTCTAAGGCCAGTTGGGAAGCGGGTTTCCATCTTCATTTTGGAGGAATGAAGAGCATGGATCTCAAGAGGTTTATGTATTCTCTCTGGCTTTGTCTCTGGCCTGATGAAGAATCATGAGAAGGTTTCTTTTCCTTCCTCTGTCTCAGCTTTGCCATCTGCAGAATAGGGTTAAAAATACTCATCTGTTTTTTATAGTTCTCTGCAGTGTCCTGATAGATGCAGCTGTGTAAAGGCTATTTAGTGTTATTCTCCAGTATCCCAGCTTCCTGACAAAGCCATTGCACGACAGTAACACTTCCAGTAAGATGCAGCCTTTGTCTTTTGCAAAGGTGATAAGGTAGCTGGAAATAATCTCTAAAACTCCTTTAAGGCTCTATATTAACTGTGAAAGGAAAGATGTTTGTTTCACATGTCAAACAGACTATGCCTCTATATATCTTCCTTACTAGTAAGCCTGTCGTGAGCCACAGCTTGCAGTATAGCCAACGATGTTCATGCTCTGTTTTAGAACATGCTTTCATATACCTATGTATAAACGCATCAGTGCAGCACAACAGTTAAGTTGCATATTTAAGTCCCTTGATGTCTATTTTACATCAGTCTTTAAATAACTTTTCCCATTCTCCCTTTTCTCCTCCACCGCATCTTTCACAGGTGTACATGCCTATTGTTCTTTGAAGGAAAATATCATTACATGAGTCAGTTTTAAATCTCTGAGGAGTTAGAATGATTGATATTTAATTTTCCTATGTTCTTCTTAAGCTGCATTCAACATATCAAGTGTTAATGAGCAAATATAATTGTTTGAAGTGAAAAAATGGCAAATTTAATCAGTTTGTAATAGACTACCAATCTGCTTTTAACAGAGCTGGGAGTTGCATAATCACCTGTTTATTAAAGTGTTACTGTCTTCCATACTAACCAGAGTTTGACATACAGACTAGTATCTTTCTACTACTTTTCATGGCACCCTGCTGCTAATTTGAATTGGAGGGAGAAACATTTTTGAAGAGACTTACCTAATGGAGACTTTCTCAACTAATAATCAAAAAAGGTTTTTCTTCCATTTTAAGAATAATACATTCGGAGTGTGCAATTTCAATTATAAAATTAACATCAATTTTCCTTTTATGTGATAAGTATAATGTGAGTGGTAGACTGAATTTACAGCTATAAAGACTTTTGGTGATCTGGTGTAATTGGCATCAACAGATGGCATCCACACCTGAGTCACCATGATTACAAAGAACCCCTTGTCACAGCCGGCATATTGGGTCGTGCAGAACCAGCAAGCTGGTGCAATTTAAAACTTGCTATTTTGTTTTATATATCCCTTGTTTCCATGGATATAATTCTTTAAATTTTTTTTCATAGCAGAATATCAAGCTCCTGTATGACCTGTTCAATTTACTGGCAGCTAGGTTTTTTTTTTCCAGGAGTTAGGTAATCAATGAATTTTAACTAGGTCCTTTAGTGTTAGCATTAAGTTGAATACCTGTATGGTACTTATTCTCACACACACTGCTGGATGTTCTTACTACTGAATGGCTGTTGCTGGTCTTGCATGTCTCACCCTGATTACTAAGCAGGAAAAAATAATCTTTTTTTTCGTATTTACTTGTTCTGTCCCCTGAAGTTCACATAGTTAACTGAGTTATGACTTAGCTTCTTTTAGCAAGTCTCTGTCAAAGGTTTTGTAATGGTTCCTCCACCACTGCATCAGCAGCTGTAAATTAGGAGTGACAAAAGAATGTTAATATAGCTCTGCAGGATTGCTCATTGCCATTTCCACCAGGGATGGTTTTCGAGCAGATCAGTCCTGTGTGAAATAGCAGATACTCACATACAAGGTGCATGTTGTCTATATGGAGTACATTTATCTGTGCATCTCAGGCTTTTGAATACTTCTTATGGTTCAGAATGTCTCTGCGTGCTGCTGCCTGCAGAGGAACCGGATCTAAGATGTTTTGTGGAAGTACTTCAGAGCTTATCTTAATGACTGTAAAAAGTTACTCTCTAAATATCCTAGCCCACTGTAGCCTTTCAACCTCTCTTTTTGTCTGTGTCCATTTGTAAAGCAGCTGCTAAACTGTTTCACTTCATGTATTGCTGAATATGGAGACAGACATCAAGTCAAGTTTCAGTTAGGAGGAGTTTTTTAGTTATAAACTTCTGAAAATAAATATTTACAGTGGAAATGTTTACACTCTTCACTACAGCAGCATAAAGTTGCCACTGTAATAGCCCCTTTCATTTTCCTTCTCTTTTCTACAAAATAGTTGTCTTTCTTCCACACACGACTGTCTATGTTGTGTGAACATTTTAATAAGGGTTTTCAGAAACAAAAATACATTTTCTTTCAAACTGGAAGTTCCCTTTCAGGCATCTGAAGCAGAAATACTGCTTTGAATAATAATACTCTTAACTTCCTTGGCATGTTTTCTGTTTTTATGTTGCAAAAAGTTGTCAGAACTACAGCAGTGTGGAAGCTCCACACTTCTCTACAAAGAAATTTTTGCTGCCATGGTTTTAGCCTCCAGATGAAAATTAACATTTGAAATTACTTCAGGGAGAATTGAAAAACAACAAAGCAAGATAGTTCTACACAATTTTTCATCTTTATATATGCTGTCATTTTTGCAGGCTGTAGGGTAGTCAGGCTACCTGATAGATGTACAAAGCGATTGAATTCTATACACCTGTATTAATCTTGAAGGTTCAATTGTGTTTGATGCTGTTCTTCTTAATCATCAAAAACTGGTAACTATCAACATCAACACTTTCCAACAGTTGCCACATTATGGTACATGAGAATAGGAGAGTTTCTTTCCACCTCTTTGTTTATAAGATGAGATTTTAGTAATAACTGTATTAGAAGAGTTATCTTTCACTGTTTACATGATTCCTTTATTTTTCTGTCTTTGTCTTAATCAGCTGTGTGGTAGTTTTGTCTGTACGAATGAGATGCCCCTGTTGCTTTCC